GAAGGAGCGGCGGCGCTTCCGGTGCCGTGTGGGGAATTCCGCTTCCGGTGGCGCTTCCGGGGGCGCAATGGCGGGAACGCTGAGGGGAGGGACCCCCGGGTTGGGAATGTCGCGAAATAAAGTGACGGGAAACGATATAAAATGACAGAAAATGATATAAAGTGACAAAAACCGATATAAAGTGACAAAAAACGATAGAAAGTGACCGAAATTCGGGATCGCGGCGTATCCCGAGCTGGAGGGAGCCATGGCGGGAGCGCTGAGGGGAGGGACGGACGGGGTTGGGAATGTCACGGTATAAAGTGACGGGGAACGATATAAAATGACAGAAAATGATATAAAGTGACAAAAACCGATATAAAGTGACGGGAAACGATAGAAAGTGACCGAAATTCGGGATCGCGGCGTATCCCGAGCTTGAGGGAGCCATGGCGGGAGCGCTGAGGGGAGGAGCGGGCGGGTTGGGAATGTCACGGTATAAAGTGACAGAAAACGATATAAAGTGACGGGAAACGATAAAAAATGACAGAAAATGATATAAAGTGACAAAAACCGATATAAAGTGACGGGAAACGATATAAAGTGACCGAAATTCGGGATCGCGGCGTATCCCGAGCTGGAGGGAGCCATGGCGGGAGCGCTGAGGGGAGGGACGGACGGGTTGGGAATGTCACGATATAAAGTGACGGGAAACGATATAAAGTGACGGAAAAACGATATAAAGTGACGGGAAACGATATAAAGTGACCGAAATTCGGGATCGCCGCGTAGGGATCAAGGCACCCCGATAACCCTCCGGTGGCGCAATGGCGGGAACGCTGAGGGGAGGAACGGGCGGGTTGGGAATGTAGCGAAATAAAGTGACGGGGAACGATATAAAGTGATGGGAAACGATATAGAGTGACGGAAAACCATATAAAATGACCGAAATTCGGGATCGCGGCGTATCCCGAGCTGGAGGGAGCCGTGGCGGGAACGCTGAGGGGAGGAGCGGGCGGGTTGGGAATGTCACGATATAAAGTAACAGAAAACGATATAAAGTGACAAAAAACGATATAAAGTGACAAAAAACGATATAAAGTGACAGAAATTCGGGATCGCGGCGTATCCCGAGCTGGAGGGAGCTGTGGCGGGAGCGCTGAGGGGAGGAAGGGACGCGCTGTGAACGCGGATTTTGTCTTGATATAAAGTAATGGAAAACTATCTAAAGTGACGAAAAACGATATAAAGTGACCGAAATTCGGGATCACCCAGCGCTGCCCAGCACACACCGATAACCCGGCCTGGGGGCGGTGAAAAAGCCCTCCCGGAGCTGTGAGTGTGACAAATCCTGAGGGGAACAGGGGCTGTGACCCTCGGGGACCATTAAATCCCAGCTCGGTTTTGTGTTTGGGAGCGATCGTGGTCCTGTCTGGATTTTCTTTCCTGCAGGATCAGCTTTAGGTGATTTTTTTTCTGTCAATTCCTTTGGGAACCACCTCAGCTACATTCCCTAAATCCCAAAAAATCCTCCTTTTCACTTGGGAACCACCTTGGCTCTGCCTCACCCTAAAATCCCAAATCCCAAATTCTCCTCATCCCTTGGGAACCACCTCGGCTACAATCCCCACCCAAATCCTAAA